AGACCACCATAACACAACTGCCACACATCATTCCACCACTACCACACCATACCACACCACACAACAGCTCCAACCACCACCACATCACACCACCATAACACAACTACCACACATTATTAGTACCACAGCTCCAACCACCACATCAGACCACCATAACACAACTGCCACACATCATCAGTACAAAATCTCCAACCACCATAACACAACTACCACACAGCATCAGTACCAAATCTCCAACCACCATATCGGACCACCATAATACAACTACCACACATTATCTGTACCACAGCTCCAACCACCACATCAGACCACCGTAACACAACTACCACACATCATTCCACCACTTCCACACCATACCACACCACACCACAGCTCCAACCACCACCATATCACAACACACTGACATTTGATCAATAACCCTATACTTACACAATGAGGGTATCATTTGTTGATACATTGCACAGACTAATTCCACTCGTAAATATCTTGTGAATCTTACTTTTATATGCTTCAAAAACTCTCAGCTACAAAATAAAATTGGGAAAAGCAGTACACAGTTAGACCAGGGATCTCGCTAGCTCAACGTGAGTGCCGGTCAGTCATGAATATTAATAAGCTACAATCAAACCTGTCTATAGCGACCACCCAAGAGACTTTGAAATTTTGGCCTTTATAGACAGGTGGCCTTTCTATTCAGGTTCACTAATTTATTCATGAATATTAATTAGGTACTGAATCAATGTATTAAAACAGATCTTGCAACCCCATTTGACACACTATTACACTACTGTACACAGTATCCAAACACTTTATTACAAATAAAAAAATGTTGATTTTAAATTGTATTATGTAAACTAAAATCATTTCACAAAAATCGATCGGTGCACAATAATGAGTAGTATGAAAATTAAATATTTGAAGATTTGTAGAGTAGAGTTCATGTTCAGTAGCAGTTTCAGTCTCATTTCCTACTAAAGAAATCACTCAGCTTGCTTTGCTTAGCTATTCTGAATTTGCATGTTTCTTTTAATATTTATTGTGTCTCGTACACTTTAATAGTAACTGTTCTAATAAATCGGAGTGTCTCTGGGCTATAGCAAATTCTTTCAAGGAGATATGAGAGGGACAGTTAGCAGTGCTTTATTGATCCCTACAACGTTACGTATACGAAAAGAACACTTATCTATTGTAGTGATGGATCTTCTTCCAGGTACGTGACAACTTGAAAGTTTCCTCCCCAATCACAATTTCCTTAACATTTTGTTCATTTTTTATCAAAAATCTTCTCGACCTACCTCACTTACGAAATGGTTGATCACTAATCAAAACATTACTTTGCGCAATTGAAATCTGTGCGACTTCCATGTTATTGTACTGATGTAACAATAGAAACATGTGAAATATGCCTGGCGACTTTGGCCAGTGAACTGAGGTCAATTTAACATCATTGCTAAAAGCATCTATTGTTAAATGTACCGAGGCAGTAGCAACCGAGAAAACAAAATAGTTGAATGAATTCAGTTGGACAACGAGACGATACTGCACACACATTCCCTCACAGTGATCGATAGGCAGTAACGGAAGCGACTCTACTTTTTGACTCGAGTTATCATAACCCCGGAAGTACAAAAACGCACATGCGCAGGGCTAATTAGCATAATTTATTTGGATGAATAAACAACAGGCATGGCCATTCTGTTGATTTTTTTCCTTTTTGCTATCAGTTCCAGTTACATGTGTATTTATCGATATTTATAGGAGTTCAAAGTGAATAAATATCGATACTAAATAACAAGTGAGTTGTTATGTTTTTTTGTTGGTAATCAATTCGATCGGGGATTTACCGTCGGCATTCCAATTCACCCCAGCCTCATGCATAGGGACCGTGACTGTGTCCTGGCAACTCACAAAACTTTTGCAGATCGTCATCGTTGTGGTTGCTCAATTCATTCATTGAACAAAAACATTAATGACAGCATGTTTTTTTATCAAGACACTTTTAAATTCTTAATTATGTTTTTGGCGTTCCATAGCCATCGGTACAGTGTGCTTGCCGTGGTAAACTGAATTATAAACAAGAATAAAACATCAGTTGAATGAAAGGTGTGAAAACGTGCTAACTTTGTCCGTTGTGAGCTTATTAGTTGTCTGAGATTGAAGGCAGTAGTCTGCAAGACATCCGGGAACTATGTCCGTTATATGCAGTTCAACTGATCACTGTGGCCGCTGAAGCGTGGCCGTTGGCCACGTTAGGCAGATGGCTGCTATAAACAGGGTACTTTACATGTAAAATTCGTAGGAACTGCTCGGTTGTGACCGCTATAGGCAGGTGGCCGCTGTATCCAGGTGGCCGTTAACACAGGTTTGACTGTATAAGAATATTAATTAGCAATGAATAGTAATGAGTTCGGTCGCATTGCAAATGTTTTTGAAATTAAGACATTATGTTTCACAATTTAGAAGAGTTTAGATTTAAAAATGAAATGTATTCGAAATGCGAATGGTGCAGACTAAAACAGAAACAAATAAATTATTGTTGCAATATTAATGTCTATTGTAAAAAGTTAAATAAAACGCATTTGAAACGTTTCAGGCAGGAATATGTTCACGATCTTATTTACTTCAAAAACAATCTCCTTCAAAAAATCGACCACGTAATTATTTGGAGTATTGTTGTAATTTATTATTCGTACCATCAATTTCTAAAACGTATATATTTACAGTAATGAATGAACAAATAAAACTTTCAAAGTTATGACGTGACATAACTTACTTTGCAATGTTATACAACAATTATACCAATAATTCCTCTTACTCAGTCATGATGCCATGCAAAAAATTTTACTTCTTTTTTTTTTTATCGGGAATGGTTATTTTTGATCACTCGATTGCTTCGGTAAAAAACACACACCCGCTACGATGTTTGTGGCGTATTAGTTGACCGGCATGTGTCTTTTGACCCGATGGGTCAAGAATGCCATCAGAATGCCGCATGGTAATGCCGGTAGAATCCGAAGTTTTCCGAATGGTAGTGATCATAAAAATTACATTGCGGAAGTAAAGCAATGTCGTAACACGATGTGTTGGCATCGATTTCAGTTGAAAACTGCATGATGGTTTTCGAAAGAGGTGATTAGCAATTTTTAAAAGGTAAAATAGTTCCTGAAAGAAGAGTTTTTACATTATTCGTGATGATAACAGTTCAAATGTATTTTACCAAATCATGCAATAAACATGTTTTTTTTTTGTTTTTTTCCTTGAGTGTGTAGTGTAAACTGATTGTGAACCCCGCTTTGACAATGTTATTTAGAGGTGGGGTTGATTTTGAAAGATTTTTAGCTTTCAATCTAAAGACTGTGTCTATCCCAGAAAGTATTTACTTACAAACAAAGAGGAGCTAATTTCAAAAGATTGACAAGCCACTACGTATCGTGCGACTAGGTCTATTGTTTACAAATTAACGACTGGCAGGATGCATGTCGGCCAGTACATAATTATAATAAGAATCTGACAATAGTTCTGGTCGGAAGCATTTTCGTGGTGGTCGCTAATTTTGAGTGCCAGAGGGGGCCGGTCACCGCCGACCAGCGGGGTGAGTTCCATGTTAGACCTATGTATGCATCACAGATAGAGTGCATAGATTGTATCACAAGAAGGCTACATTATTAGATAGATATCCTTGTTGAAATCTTTGTGATTGTTAAATGGTACAGGCTTTTCTTGTGATGAATCAACCCTATCAGCAATTGCAGCAGCCTTAACTAGTTCTATCAATCACTTCAGCTGATGAAAATATTTTACATGTAAATTGTGTGAGGAGGTGTTACCATAGTGATCACTATATCAGTACAAATCAGGAGAGCTAATGGTATACTATGAGCTGCCTATAGAAATACGATGAATTCTATACTCAATTGTAGTCATGACGACTGAAACTTACATTTTTAGTTGGGATTCCAGTTTTCTCACTCATAATTGATTTCACATCATCTACAATTCCATCATGTGGGATTTCCACAACGTACTGTTGAAAACAAGGACAGAAAGAGATACATAAGAAATGAATAGTAAATGATCATAGTCACTGGTTCACTGCCAACACATACGTTACTGATTAGGGGACATTCATTTTTGAAATCAGGTTATAATGTGAAATTTATTTTATTCAAAACGTTTTCTTTTAATTTTTACTCATGCCACCTGTGGTGCATATACTGTAAATCAAATGTGAATGTCTTAGAGTCTGTTATAATAATGCATTTCCCAGACTGTTTTCCTATCCAAGGGACTATAGTACTAGTAGTACCATGTTCATTACAAACCATATTACCGGTAACTCTTTTTCATTTATTTACCAAAATCGCATTTTTATATTTAAATGAATGTAAGCGACATCATCAAATCATTTGCTTTGGAGTGTGTAGACATATGGGAATAAATCAATAAGGAGTAGCAAAACACATGTCTGATAGTACAAATAAATTACAAAATGATGTTCAACAGGATGTAACAGTGAAAAAAAAAATCCTATATTTTACATTTAATTCAACAAAAATAAGTTTTATACAAAACCTCCAAAATTTCTTTTTAGTGAAAATCAATTCTAGGTAACAATTTTTTTTTACAGTAAGCTTTCCATTAATATTAATTTGCAATTGTGATAACTGTGAGGAATAGTTAAATAAGAATACACCACTTGTTGGTTACAAGCAATAATTGGTGTCTTATTCACTGTATTTTCAACCTTGTAATTAGTAAATATATAATATTTACCTTTCTAGGTGTCTTGTAAGGTTCTTTGTACATAAAATAAACTGGGAGGGGTCTTTTCTTCTTTGGCAGTGGTACAGATAGATGCATAAATGGATCAAATGTGATTGACACCTGAAACAAATTGATAGACAAGTTTTAAAAAAACTTAATAACTTATTACACCACGTTGTTTAGTTACTGTACTACTTGATTCTATTATTATAGGAATACTGTATACACAAATATTAAATATGCTGTTTTTATCATCAAAACATTATCTTTTCATAGTTTCAGAGCTCAGAGGCCTAACAGAAATATAGTCGCTATATCTATACAAACCTGTCAGATAGGAAATATTCTGTCTATTAACAATGTACAAATTTTCAATTTACACAAAATTATAATAAATCAGAGTGCCAGGATGTAATGTGTGATTGATATGTTAATGCAAAAACAAGTACCCTGATACATATAAACAATATACCTGAGAGTCTTTTTCTCACCTTTGAACATTTTGGACAGACCAGTTTGGATTTAAACTGCCCCTGTAATAAATCCACTATAAAGGAATCATTTCTTTTCTTGTGTCTGAGCCAAGCTTCAGATGCAATTAACTGAAACAATAATGAGGAGAAATTAATTAACAAAAAACGCAACAATTCTACTCTCAACACTGAATGAATAATTGTCAGTATTTGATAGAGTTGATTGAAGTTGATTGGATGCGTGTCACTGTACATGCAAACAAGTACCTACACAACGTAGTCATCATAATATCAGTACTATCATATCATTAAAACTATACCTCATCTGGTCTTCCATCATAGTCTTGACTTTCTATGTACGGCTTTTTTTTAATTCGATTCATGTCCTGCGGAAAATACAGATATTATTTATTACAACATGCCTTATTTGGACATTGCATTACATCACTGCTCTACTCTACTCTATTAGAGAATTATAATATTGCATTCCATCAACCCTGAACCTGCATAACATTCTGACATTAAATTTGACAATGAAAAAACACTAGTCTGGTGTTTTTGACATAAAAATAATTTATCTCAAACAAAGCACTTCACATAAATAAATCAACTTTGAATATTCAATCATGACTCAGTGTATCGTCAGTGTAAAGAAATATGGGTGTTCATTTATTGGGACTACAGCTACACACCAGTACAGTTATGAGTATAAAATAAGCCAATATAGTC